GCTAGGAAGAAAGAGCTACTCGCGTTCGTCACCGTTCTCAAACGGTGGCGCCACTTTCTTCTCGGCCGTCGGTGTTTTAAATGGAATACGGACAACAATCCGTTGACCTTTTATAAAACGCAAGACACGGTCACTAGCACGATCGGTCGATGGATGTATTACATCGACCAGTTCGATTTTGACCCGTGCCACATTCCCGGTCCCGCCAATCGAGCCGCGGACGCCCTCTCACGACAGCCCGGCTTTTGTGCCATTGTGACCACGGCATTCGACCTCGATGACGATCTGCAGCCACATTTCATCAAAGGCTACAAGTCTGATCCGACTTACTCTACCCTTTACGTAGAGCTTTCATCGGATCACCCGCCGGCTAGCCACTATCGGATTTCCGACGGGTTCCTTCTCCTTCACACGAGAGGAAAGGACTTGTTAGTTGTGCCCCAAGTTCGCATCTTACGGACTCGTCTTCTCGGCGAACTCCACGACGCACGACTTTCGACGCACCTTGGCGTGAACCGCACACTAGCACGCCTCCGCCAGCGTTTTCACTAGCCCGACGTCCTTCATGACGTCACGAGGTACATTGAGTCATGTGCAGTTTGCCACCGTAACAAGGGTCGATCTCGWGTCCCCTTCGGCGAACTGAAACCGTTGCCGATCGCTCGGGCACCACGCCTCTCCATTGCTATGGACGTGACAGGCCCGTTTCCCCGGGATCGCCACGGCCATGACGGTATTCTCACGGTCGTTGACCGTTTGAGCAAGTATGCTCGCTTCCTTCCTTTCAAGTATCATGCTGCAGCGCCTGAGCTCGCACGACTCTTGCACACCGGTTGGATTACCAACCAAGGTGTTCCGAAAGACATAGTGAGCGACCGAGATACTCGTTTCATGTCAACCTTTTGGACTTCCCTCATGGCTGAGTCCGGTACGACAATGAAACCGAGCTCGGCTCGGCACCCGCAGACGGATGGTCAGACGGAACGAGCGCACCAGACCGCTCAGATGATGTTGCGTACGCTCATCCGTCCCGACCAGAAAGATTGGGTTGACCGGCTTCTCGACATCGAGTTCGCCTATAACACTTCGGTGCACCCGGCGATCTGCGTCACACCATTCGAGTTACATCATGGTGGAGAGAAAGCATGGATCTTCGCTGATCTCCTTTTGCCACAGGCTGCCGACATAGACGTCCCTTGCTCCCCCGCTTCCGTCCGGAAGTACCGAGACTTGCTGATCAAAGCCCGCACAAATATGCAAAAGGCTCAGATCCGCATGCAACATCAAGCTAACCGACGTCGACTTCCATGTCCTTTCCGCGAGGGAGTCCTTGTTTGGGTCCTCTCCGACGAATTTGCGCTTGAGCAGGACGTTTCACGCAAACTCCTTCCGAAATGGTTCAGACCATGGGAAGTCACTTCTGCCGTTGGAGACGATCCCGCAGGTCCTTCCTTCGTGATCAACATTCCACCGCACCTGACAGTGCATCGGGTCTTCCACGCATCGAAGCTGGCCATCTACACGCCACCTTCAAATGACGAGTTTCCCGGATGTCGATCACAGGATCCGCCCTCCATGGACGGACATCAGGAAGTGGACCGAGTCATCACGCACCGCAAGTATGGCAACAAGCC